AAAAAAAAAAAAAAAAAAAAAAAAAATACTACCAGTTTAAGAGAATACAGTTTGAAGCTATTACTTTCTCCTAATCAAGGGTTTATCAAAGGTAACATGCTCAAGCCCCAGCTACTGAAAAGACAAATCTTCCACAAGGGTTACTCTGGCCCACATTTTCTTATACATTCAGTTAAACTCTGAGGTTTTGCCACACTGGAAAGTTAGTTCTGCCATGATTTTAACACCCACTCACTTCTTAAAGAATTCCTATAGCTAAAGGAAAACTTACCTCTGCAAAATGTGTTGTTGTGCTATTGTCTATCCGACTGCTGCCACCACCTAAGAAACTAAAGAGAAGAGGAATGAGTGGTGATTCTACCCCCAGCAACAAGCTTCCATCCCAGAAGCTAAATATAGAATGGCATAATGAGAACAAAGCCCAATAAGGAAAAATAACTCATCCCAACACAACACCTATAAAGAAAATTACGAAGAACTGGCATGTGAACTAATCTATGAAAAGTAACATAAACCACAAAATCAAGTGGTTTCCAAGGGAATCAAAGCTAAATCCAGTGAAAAATTGGAGAGAGAAGCCACCATTGAGAAGAAGGCAATGCAATTGCCACAGCCGGCAATGCAATTCAAATTTGACCTATCAAAAGGAAAACATTTATCCTCAAAGTCACTAACAAAACCAAAGGTTTCACTAAAAAACCGTTCAACCACCAGATGAACACAACATCTGAGGCTACAATAGTCAATATTTCTTAAGAATGATCAAATGTAGTAACCTAAGAGGCCTGGTACTGTATTTAAAACATTTCTCCCTCCACCCACCCTTCAGGACCCATCTCAAATGCTACCTCCTTCATTAAGCCTTTCTGAACTCTCCAACCAAATAAGACTCCTCTAAACCCCTCTGCACTCTCACTTTGATTCTAAAACCTACCTGGTATTATGAGTATCTAGGATTTGCCTCATCCATTTCAACGACTCATCCATTTCAACCCATTTCCCTCCTATCATCAATATAAATTCATTAGGCAAAGACTGCAATTTATTAATGCCTCAAATACATGTAGAGTGATTATTAATTGTCAGATATTACACAGCACTATCACCTTTAAAAAAAACCTGCAATGTCATATCCTATATTGATACTCAAAAGTTGCTGAATTAGTATCACATGTGAAAATGATAAAATAACTACCTCTTCCCAAAGACCTTGAAGAGTGGAGAGAAATATTAAATCCCATTGTCCCCATGAAATTTGTAAAGAACAAAGACAAGAAGCTAACACATCAGGGAAGAGGGAGGGAAAGAATCACAGGAACTGCTGGATATCACTTTTACTTCAAGAGACACACTTAAGGACACAAGCATACATACAAACACCCCGATGATAAGTTCACAAACTACTACAAATAGTTTTCATTTGTAGGATTACAGTACCAGTCCAGGCATTGTGTTGTGCTCACTAAGGAAACAAAACACACCCTAGTCAGTCTGAAACCAAAAGTGAAAAAGCAAAGCTAATTATATTCTTTACGTAATCATTCTCAAGCCTTATTCCTTGATTAGAAACCATTTAATACCTGTATTTATTTCAGAAAACCGCTTTTGTAAAAATCACTCCAAATGTGTAACAAGCCCAAAAATACTTGTACATCTATGCTAAATAAACAGCCAATTGAACTACCATATATCATAAAAAACAAAGTTGAGTGGCTATGTATCCACCTAATTGCTCAAGCCCAGACAGGCTTCCAAGATTCTTCCTGCCTTTGCTACACAGTTTCAGGGATTCAAATATCCTTGGTAAATGAAACCACAACTCTTATCTTTTGGGGTTCTGCTCTCCCTGAAAGAGAGAGCAGAACCTCACTGTTCCCTTTCCTTAAAATTCCTGTGCATTTTAAGAGTAATAGAGCCTATCATAGAGAAGGGACAATAAAAACCATCATGTTGCTCTGAGAAATGCTACAAAGCTTAAGAAAAAGTATTAAGGTACTCCTCTATCTGGAAGTTTAAGAGCAGATGGACCCCATTATCCAATATTTACATGCAAAAATTTCCTTTTACTGACTTTAACCCTTCCACTACTTACCACTGCAACTGCTAAGTATTTAAATCAGCAAATGTTTATGAACTTTATAGAAAGAAATATATTGCCTATAAGACAAGGATTCTAAGAAAAAGATTTCTTCTTTCATTTAAAACACGGATCTCTTTCAAAACAGTCTTTGTATTTGAGTAAATTACTACCAAGAGCACCTAAATAAGACAACCTTTGATCTACAAAGACAAATAAAAGAATTAAGAACAGAATCCATAGTTCCCTGCTAGACAAAGATTCATCCTGCAGTTAATCATTCTCATTTATAACTTATTTGCATAAAAGTACTATCTGCCTAAAGAAACCAGTTACTACTTGAAAACTAAGCCCCATTAATTGTTCTCCCACAACCAATATATCCTTTATTTAGCACATGCAGAGCATAAGTGCCTGAAATAAGTATTTGATGCAATTATCATAGCACAAACAAAAAAGCTATCCCAAGGCAGCATGCCATCCACACAAAACCGCTAATTTTGCAGTCATGCTAATCTTACAGGGTTAGTGCTGGTACTGTGCTATTTAAAACCAAAATGATTACACTAACAGTTAAGGGTTTGTATCAAAATAGATCCCATGTCACATACTGCCCCAGAAGCTCCAGCTTATTTACACATATAATCATCAATCATTAGTAAAGTAAAACTAATAGTACATACTGTAAAATGTGTAGTTTTTCCTGGTTGTGGAAGGAACCTTCAACTTTAGATTCTGCCAATAGCAACAGTAAAGGAATTACCTACTGCTATTAAAATCCCCAAAGTCACTCCAAGATTAAGATGCTTCAGATTGCAAATTCTTTTTGACAAGTCAGTACTTCTTGAATTTTTATACCAACGCTTAACCAAACAGTCCCAAAAGAACAAATGTGCCACTGTGATTAGCCAAGAGGCCATCCTATCAATGCTATTCTAAAATGTATTAACATTTCCAAACAGCCCCAAAAGAACAAATGTGTCATTGTGTTTAGCCAAGAGGCCATCCTATCAACACTATTCTAAAGTGTGTTAACGTTTTAGATTGGGCGCAGTGGCTCACGCCTGTAATCCCAGCATTTTGGGAGGCCAAGGCAGGCGGGTCACTTGAGGCCAGGAGTTCAAGACCAGCCTGGCTAACATGGCAAAACCCCGTCTCTACTGAAAATACCAAAAATTAGCAGGAGATGGTGGCGCACGTCTGAAGTTCCAGCTACTCAGGAGGCTGAGGCCTGGGAGGCAGAGGTTGCAGTGAGCCAAGATTGTACCACTGCACTCCAGCATGGGTAACAGAGCAAGACTGTCTCAAAAAAAAAAAAGGAATGAATGAAAAGAAAAGAAAAAAGATTTTATAGTTTTTTTCACATAAAGAGGAATATATAATAGTCACTTTCAGAAATATTTTCCCTTTCTATCAGCTAATATACCTCTACTGAGGCCAATAAGAACAAATTCCAAGCACTACAAACCTGTATGTTAATATTACACTGGAAAGATGGCCTAAGTTTGACAGCAATAATCTTTTCTTTTGTTTTTTTTTGAGTCAGTTTCGCTCTCAACACCCTGGCTGGAGTGCAATGGCACAGTCTCAGCTCACTGCAACCTCCGCCTCCCTGTTTCAAGTGATTCTCCTGCCTCAGTCTCCCAAGTAGCTGGGATTATAGGGACCCACCAACATGCCCAACTAATTTTTGTATTTTTAGTGGAGACAAGGTTTCACCATGTTGGATCAGGCTGGTTTCAAAGTCCTGACCTCAGGTTATCCACCCATCTCAGCCTCCCAAAGTGCTGGGATTACAGGTGTGACTCACTGCATCTACCGAATAATCTTAGTAAGAACAAGAGACCCAAGGCTTCCTCAAAGCAGAGTAACAATCGGTTTCCCTGGCTACAACAGCCTGTTTACCTGATTAGATATCTTTGTCAGAAGTCACTCCCTAATTCAACAAAGAGGTGTAACAGCAGTTTACCTTCAGGCAGCAGAGTGGTCACTAAAACCCAAATAATAATCTAAGAGAAGCCCCCGGTCTCAGATAATAAATGACAACTAACCGCATTTACTCTGACATGCGCACAGATGTTTCCAAGGAACGCCACACACAATCAGGAGCAGGGTACATCATCACATCCACTATCACATCACTTTCCAAATTTTCCCGTTTTTCTTTTTCCTCTCCCATTTTTCTGCCCTCTCTTGTGCAAGCTCATGCATTCACTGACTCTCCTTCTCTCTCTCTCTCTCTCTGTAGAGAGTATAAGTTAAAAAACAAATTCAATGTACTCATTCAATGCTGAGAGAAAATAGTTTTGATAATAGAATGTCTGAGTTATTCATGAACTTATACAATACCTGGAATCATCTGTCACTTCTTCAATAAAGCCTGATTCACATCTGGGACAAATGTATTCCTATAAAAAAAGGAAAAAAGAAATAAAAGTTTTTCATTAGAAAGTTAAGTGACATATGTTGTTTCAGAGTAACATGCAGTATACACTGAGGCTCTGAAATGCTGTATGTAGTTGCTGACTCTAGATGACTCCTGAGTAGTTTCTTTGCTTGTTTTTTGTGATACAGGGTCTCACTCTGTCACCCAGGCTGGACTGCAGTGGTGTGATCATAGCTCACTACAGCCTCAATCTCCCAGGCTCAAGTGATCCTCCCGCCTCAGCCTTCTGAGTGGCTAGAACCACAGGCACATGCCAACAAACCTGGCTAATTCTTTCTATTTTTAGTAGAGATGAGGTCTTGCTATGTTGCCCAAGCTGATCTCAAACTCCTGAAGTGAAGCAATCTTCCTGCCTCAGTCTCCCAAAGTGCTGGAATTACAGGCATGAGCCACTGAGCCCAGCTTAGTTTTTTCTTTTTCTTTTGAGACAGAGTTTAGCTCTTCTTGCCTAGGCTGGAGCACAATGGTGTGATCTCAGCTCACTGCAAACTCTGCCTCCTGAGTTCACTCCTGCCGCAGCCTCCCGAGTAGCTGGGATTACAAGCATCCGCCACCATGCCCGGCTAAGTTTTGTATTTTTAGCAGAGACGGGGTTTCACCATGTTGGTCAAGCGTGTCTCAAACTTCTGACCTCAGGTGATCCACCCGCCTCGGCCTCCCAAAGTGCTGGGATTACAGGCATGAGCCATGACTCCTGGTCCCAGCCTAGTTTTTTCTATTATACTCTGGTAAATATAGAATTCCATAAGATATTTGCAGAATTGCTTCATATCTACCTAAGCGGTTCCCACTGAGAGCTGAAAGGGGGAGTGTCAGATGTTTTTCTTTAAAATTTAGGTTACTTATTATTATTATTTTTTTTGAGACAGAATTTCATTGGCTCAATGCAACTTCTGCCTCCTGGGTTCAAGCAATTCTCCTGCCTCAGCCTCCCAAGTAGCTGGGATTACAGGTGCCTGCCACCATGCCCAATTAATTTTGTATTTTTAATAGAGACAGGGTCTTACCATATTGGCCAGGCTGGTCTTGAACTCCTGACCTCAGGTGATCCATCTGCCTCAGCCTCCTAAAGTGCTGGGATTACAGGCATGAGCCACTGAACCCGGCCTAAAATTTAGGTTATTTTTTAACTAGAATGAATCTATCATCGAATTTTTTTCTTCAAATCTAATTTTAAAAAGCTCCACTATAGACATATCAAAGCAGTAAAATATATAATACTGACGGGTATAGAAACTGCTACTTTTAGGCTGGGCACAGTGGCTCATGCCTGTAATCCCAACACTTTGGGAGGCTAAGGTAAGCAGATCATTTGAGGTCAGGAGTTCAAGACCAGCCTGGCCACATGGTGAAACTCCATCTCTACTAAAAATGTAAAATTAACTGGGGTATGGTGGTGTACACCTGTAGTCCCAGCTATTCCGGAGGCTGTGGCAAGAGAATCCCTTGAACCTGGGAGGGAGAGGTTGCAGTGAGACCAGACAGTGCCGCTGCCCTCCAGACTGGGCAACAGACCGAGACTCTGTCTCAAAAAAAAAGTTTAATTCAAGGATATTAGAAGAAAAACGGAAAAAATAAATAAATAAAATAAAAATTTTTTAAAAGTTAAAAAAAAAGAAACTGCTGCTTTTTACTATGTGCATACAAGAGACACAAACTAAATAACAGCATAAATAAATCTGTAGACTAGAAAATCACAATGAGGCAGTACGATATTTCTAATCTATCTTCTGTTTATCAATGGTTCCAAATAAAACCTAACATTCTCAAATGCCCTACACAAATAACAATTCAAATAACCAAAACAATTCCAGTAAGTCAATTTCTATTTCCTTCAGTAATAAATCTTTCTTTTAAGTAATATCAAGCTTTGAGGATAAGAATATACTTTAGAGACTGCCTTATAGTAATTTTTTAAAGTATATTTTAACTAGCTATTAAAATAGATATGGGAAACACATTTTCTATTTCTTTTTAACCTCATCCTGGACTCCAAAGGCATGGGAAAGACATTTTCAACCATTTTTTCTTTTTCTTTCTTTTTTTTTTTTTTTGAGACAGGGTCTCACTCTGTCACCCAGGCTGGAATGCAGTTGCAAAATTTTGGCTCACTGCAGCCTTGACCTCCGGGGCTCAGGCAATCCTCCCGGCCTCAGCTGGGACCACAGGCACACACCGTGCCCAGCTATCTGTATTTGTAGTAGAGACGGGATCTCACCACATTGCCCAGGCTGGTCTTGAAGAACTGAGCTCACACAATCTGCCCGCCTTGGCCTCCCAAAGTGCTGGAATTATAGGCATGAGACACTGTGCCCAGTTCAACTATTTTCTTATCCCTTATACTCTCTGAACCCTACATTTTGTTCTATCTGAAGATGATGTTAGCTCTATTTGGCTCTTCAAACAAAGATAGGATGGGGATTCAAACACTCAAATGCTTTTTTTCCCCCTAACGAGATGGGGTCTCATTCTGTCACCTAGACTGGAGTGCAGTGACACAATCATGGCTCACGGCAGCCTCAAACTCCTGTCCTCAAGTGATCCCCCAAAGTGCTGGGATTACAGGCATAAGCCACCATGCCTGGCCCTCAAGTGCTTTCTTAAAAGAAAAAAGATTTAAGGCCGGGCGCGGTGGCTCACACCTGTAATCCCAGCACTTTGGGAGGCCAAGGCGGGTGGATCACGAGGTCAAGAGATCGAGACCATCCTGGTCAACATGGTGAAACCCCGTCTCTACTAAAAATACAAAAAAAATTAGCTGGGCATGGTGGCGCGTGCCTGTAATCCCAGC